GGATTTTTATTTTTTGATATTCTTATTAGATCTTCTCTTCCCTGTGAAGCATGCCGCTTTCTTTCTACTTATAGTTATAGGTAAATGGTCATAGATTGGTGGCAAAAGGATAGGGTTCAATTCTGTACACCTGTGTTTTTGGATAATTAATGCCATTCAAGGAATGTAAGAAATGAACTATAATGAATGACGTGTAGAAGCTTATACATTTTAGCAAACACTATTGCTTCAATTTGCTTACCTTTAACAATTGAGACAGAAATTCTGTAATGTGTAAGGGGAATCAGGTCTTGGTGAACTTGTTTAGTCAAAGAAATATCCCTTTTTTGTGTAGGATGCCTACTGTCTATGTATCTGGCAGTTTTCAGGATGTTAACATATATGTGATGTTTAACATTGTTAATTACACATGTTTTGAAGTTTCCAACTTCCAGTTAACGATATATCGATTGTGTATCAGAGTGTTTTTTGGTTGAATGTATATAAAGTTCTCTCTGTATATCACATATCATGCTTCTATGCATTTCAGTTTATGCTAGTAAATTTGGTCTGATGTAGTTCTTTTCTCCAATTATTTTCTTCTGAATCAGCTTTCTGAGTTTCATAGTTTAATTGTTGAGGCTGCGGAAATATTGAATATTGAGGCTCCTGATCCTTATGTTCGTCAAGCCCTGTTCCAAATGCTTATACATTGGCAATAAGTGGTAAAAAACCATTGTTGTTGTCCATACCAGCCCCGTGGAACTTCTGACACGAAAGGAGTTCCAGATATTTACTTCTCACAAATGTTCTTCTGATTATTTATAGGCCCTAATTTTCAGCTCAACGATTCCCTTTTAGTCTTAAATGCATCTTAAACTATTCTTAGTTATTTCGTGGTTAATCTGCCTTTGGTAATTCTTTTGATACATCTATAATTTTTGTTTTGTTGAGTAGATTTATCTCATTTTCTATTACATTTTGCTTTCACAATCACTTCTGCTGAGAAATATGCGTTTACAAATATACATTTACTGATTAAATTTCCTAAATTCAAATAATAGTACTTTAATTCACATGGATTATGGCAAAAAAAAAAAAAAAACCCTTACTTTTTTGGTTGGACTGTAACTCATATGATGAAAAGAGAAATGCTAAGGATATTCTCTCCAACACTCTCCTTTGAACATACCATGTGATTGAAACACGTGATATAAATTTCTTGTGATTGGTCATAGTTTTAAATTTTAAAAACATTAACTTTAATGTCATTCACTAATCACTAATCATATTAAATTTATGTTTCACGTGACCCTATCTTGCACCACATGGCGAATGTTCATAAGAGAGTACTAGAAAGAGTGTCCCTAGTACTTTTTGAATGAAAATCATGAAATCCCTTTAATTTTCTGGATTTCATCTTCCAAATAGGCTGTTTTGGCTCATGAGTTGGGACATCTCAAATGCCATCATGGTGTGTGGCTCACTTTTGTAAATATTCTCACCCTTGGAGCATATATCGTGTCAGGTAGGTATTTGGTACCTTTTAAAATTTTGAGGCAGCTTGGCAACTTAGTCATGGAGGGAAAGGCTGTGTGTGTTTTCCATATGATCATCTAGGTTAAACAATTCTTTGCTTAAAAAACTATTGGATTTAACCAGTGAAATGTTGAAAATAGACTTTCATGGGTACATTGCTGCCATCTAGTCATGGAGTTTTAGTTATTATTATTATTACTATTATTATTATTGGCCAACCACGGAGTTTTAGTTATTGAAGAGAACTTTTCTGTATATTTAGACCTTTTTTTTCCATCATAGCTAAGATAAAAATTCCAAACCCTCAAGTTAAACAGCATCCCCTTCCTGTTGTTCTTCATGATGATCAAGAAGACAGTTTTTTTTCCAGGAACCTTAAATTTTGATATGAACCTGCAGTAATTGCATGCGTCAGTACTCAGTTCTTGAGTGCTAGTAACATGCACCATCAGGTAATTAATACTTACAGTTATTCACAGGATCAAAATTTGGAAGAAGAGTTGTTCTGTCGGCTCCGGGCAGCAAAGCTAATTTGTGATCGTGCGGCCTTTCTGGTTGCACAAGACCCCAAGGTGCGAAAAATCAAAATCCAAGATAATATAATCTCTGATTAGCATCTCATGATGACATATTTCCTTATCTGATTTTAATTGCGATGCACACAACAAGAGGTGGTCATCTCTGTTTTGATGAAATTAGCTGGTGGTTGCCCTTCTATAGCTGATCAACTAAATGTGGATGCATTTTTGGAGCAACCTAGCTCCTATGATAAAGTTTCCTCAAGCCCAGCAGGATGGTATGTAAGGTGAGTTATAGCCTTAGCAGAGCACATAAAATTAGACCAGCAATTTTTCTTCTGGTTGTCTCATTAACTAGTATTTTCAGAAATGCTCACAAGGCAACTTTCACATCCTCTTCCTGCGCTGCGTGCTCATGAGATTGATGAGTGGTCAAGAAGTCCGGACCACAAAAATCTTCTAAAACGTGCATCCCAGATTAGTGCAGTGCAAAATATTTAGCATTGCTCTCATCCTGGCAGGTCAAAGTTTAAAACAGCTTGAATGTGTGAGTTAAAGGTTTACCTGCTTGATTCCCAGAATCTTTCATTAATAAATCTTGTTTTCACATGGTGACAAAATTCTCATGCTTGTACATATGCATGATCATGAACGGTTGCAAATCTGAACATTTGCATTGCTGTCACATTCCTGTTCGTTCCACACCAAAACAAACTGTAGTAATGAACAGATGGTGATACATACACGAACGATGCACGCTTTTATTATTATTAACTGGTTTTCTTCTGAACTTTTGGTTCAGCTTTCTGCATACCGTTGCATGATCGTTTTCAAATATCATTCTGACAAATGATAGCCGCAAGACAGAGGAGAACATGCAACATGAAGGACTATTTCTCAAGCATTTCCGCAGATACTGTAAATTTCGTAGGAAACAATATACAGCCTGTACAGAAGACAATAAGAGACATAATAGTTTCAGTAAGTCACAGTATTAGTTTGTTCTCACATGTCCTCAGAATTTTGTATTTTCCTGGTCAACGATAGTAATTTTACACCTTACAAGCTCAAACTCATGTCCTAAAGGCAAAAACATATCAGCTTCTCTAATGAATTGTAACATAAGTGAAGAAAGTTGAATGCTAGATAGCATTTTCATCCAAAAGACACAGAATGCAAAGCAAGACTGTATTCCCAAATCCAACTTCCTAAAACAAAATCTATGGCACCATACAAAAGGCTTCTCCAGTAAGATGATTGCTTAAAAAAACACTTTAATAGCTGCCAAGAACAACAGATTCATCAGAGTGAACTTGTATCCTGATCTCTGGCTCTTCAGAGGACGCAACACAACATTATCAACCATAGGACCGCAGAAAATGCCATCTTTTGTCTTAGTTGTGCTGTAGCTGAGGAAACTGATTACTGTATCATCTGGACCTGCGTCGAATGTCATAGAAAAATCATTTGCTGACCCTGTTCTCTTGTTCTGTATCATTATTCTCTGTTCTACAGATCCAGCCCGAACTCCTACCATGAAATCTCCCTCACAGCCATCATTAGCATCTCCCAAAGTGAACTCTAAGATATAAGTAGAACCTTCTTTTAGCCTTAATGCCCTTTCTATGCCAGATGAAACTCCTGAGACGAGTTCAATTGCAGCATTCCCTTCCGGAACAAAGAAATGCTCAGAATCTATGTATCTGATTGTTCCTATCACAGTCCATTCCCTCAATGAAGACTCATCATGATTCGGGGCTGCATTAAGTAGAATACCCTCAGCAGATTTGCTAGGAAATTCCGCACCAAATTCAAACCCTCCATTAAACAGAAAATTACCTGTATCCAATGGGAAAATCATCAGAAACATTAAAGAGAAGTAATCCAATTTGTAGCTCTAAAGTCTAAACCATTTTTCTCCGCACCAATCAGAAGTTTCTTTGTTATCCTTTATCCACAGATATAGAAAATGTTCTTACTTGTATCTCCATCCCAGGTTGGAACAGCTGTGACGAGCAGGGAATCGATCACCGGCCAGCAGGTGGAATCAGAATCGGAATCGGAATCGGAACTGGGTTGTGTTTCTTGGCTCTCAATCACAAGGTTAATGGGCATTTTCTCACTGAAAAACCCTAAGTAATGGCCATAGATCTGCCACGGTTCCTTTCCATACTGCTGGTTGAAATTGAAGAAGCCTTTACTGCTTGGAGTTGACACTACAAAACCAGCATAGGTAGAGCAATTCCGGCCACCGGCGGCAAGCGTGAAAGTGAGGAGATACTCCATCTCATCATCACTGGCAAAGAAGGTCTGGTTAATTTTGCCATCTGGGCCCAGTTGAATGGCGTGCCCATTATCCGGCAGAGTTATATCTTCACTTGCTGTTACATACAGAACCGTCCCTTCAAAGGACCATCCCGGAATCTTGTTGTTTAGGTTTAGCTGCAGAGAAGAGCCGGCAGGCAGGTCCGTCGGCGGCGTTTCAAAATCTGGGTTCTTGAGATAATCTGTGAACAAATGAAAATTTGAGGAAAGGAGAAAACTTAGCTGAAAAAGTAGAAAATTTGGATTAGTGGACTACTTCACCTGCAGATGCAAATCCGAAGAAGAGAAGCAGGACGGAAAATAGTTTAGGCCGCATCCTCAGCACTAGCTTGGGAGTATTGACCCAGTACACACTACACAGTATGTATGTATGTTTTTTCAGACTTCTTTTCTGGATTCCCATGTCCCACCTCTTCAAGGACATGACTTTGAACTTTAAGTCTCCATATTTAATAAAAAAAATTACCCATCATTGTATCTGGTCTTTCTTTGAAGTTTCATCCTCTTGGTAAAGGGGTTCTTCTTCTGTGGTAGAAATCACATTTGATTCAAGATTTTCTCTCTAGTACAAGAAAATGGCTGTCTTGATCGGTATTTTTGGCTTTGATGATCTGCCCTTTTAACTGGATTTGGAGAAATGACACCGCACACAAGCTGATTCATCGCCTAATGGCAAACCGCAAATAGATTCACAATGCCCCATTTCAATTTCCTTTCTTAGCCTCCCCCCGTTCTCCCATCCCCCAGCCTCCTCATACATGCCAGCAAAACGTATCTTTTTAACCATTCCATCCGCAACTTCGATATTGCCACGAGTTTTATCAGCAGCCAAAAGAATCCTAACATTTACTACATCGACTTTCTAGCTCATTTGCTTGATCAATTCCCTAGCATTTCTCTCCTGCATTTCATCAAACAACTGACGAGCACCATCCATGTCAGTCTTAACTCAATAGCACTTTCATAAAAAAATGTGCGATTCTAGCAACAACCCAAAATTCTCGTCTCAATGAAGAGAGAAGATAGCTTTTTCACGAATTTGGCTCTTAAAATAAGAGTATTCCTCACAAAGATTTGGATTTGCGTGATATTGGAGAACTTTATTGCCTATGCGTAAAGGAGATGGCCTTTTTTTTTTTAATCACATGATAAATTATACAATATATCATACCCCTCTTCTTTTAATTTTTGATTACTTATTTTAAAATTAATATTTAAAATTTTAAGCTATTTAGCCCCTTAAAAAAAACCTAGCTATTTTATCAAAAAAACAAAAACACCTAGCTGTTTTCGTACTTTTTAAAAAAAAAAAAGGTACAAGTTTAATTAAATGAGAAATGAAAAAAAAAAAGAATTTATAAGGTTTAAATATGTAACTTAGGAACGATAACTTTCACTTATCTAAAATCTAATTTAGTAACTCGGAATGCTCGGGATTCAGCTATTTTTCACATCTTCGAGGGTGCGAAAGATGGCTCTAGAAAAATTAAGTTGTGACCTTTCTATTTTTGGAGAAAATAAAAATTGTGAAGGAATTTCCTATGTGGAAGGGAATAATAAATATAGTAACTTTAGTAATCAACTTTAACATTTTTGAAAAAAATATCCTCAACCTTTAAAATCAAGCAATTAAATCCTCAACTATAAAAATTTTACTATTGCAAGATAAAAGTATTACTTCATTTTTCTCCAAAGTTCATAGTATTCTCTCATCCTAAAATGCTAGTGTCGCAATTTATGGTTCTTTGAACTAAAATGATAGTTTTTTAACAAAATTTTTTTAGCTTAATCAATTAATCTAATGAATAAAAAGCATTATATTTTAAAGAAAATTATTTTTGATTTAAAAAATTAGTATTAAATTTTAAATATTTATGATAGAAAAATAAATAATTAAAATTTTATATAAATGATATGTTTAAAAATTATATGTAAGTAGATTTTAAGATTGTTGACCATTTTGCAAGTGACCCTAAAAATTGAGGACTATTTAATCATTTTATTTTTTATTTTTGATAAACAGAAGAAACAGAAAGCAATTTATCACCTTTCCTCCGCCTCCGCTCCCCTTCCACCATTCATTTTTTCTCCTGGTTCAGTGGAGAGGAGAGAGGACAGTTCATTTTCAGCAGTGGCCAACGGGTTTCAGCGCCACTCAAAATGAAAAATTAAAACCCGAAATCTTCCACGAATCTGCGTCCAATTGACAATCCACAAAATGCCATTCCCATTCGTCTCCGTCATCATCCATGTTTCGTAAAGTTTCGCCATATTGTTCCTCAAGGCATAGGCCAATCAGCTTCGCCTACCTGGGTTCCACAATCGCGCTTCAACGGTGGTTGATGGGTTTCTTTCTGTAATTCTATTGCCGTCACTAAAAGCTCAAAGCTTTGTACCTAAGCAACACTCTCCAGAGTTCTGGTTGTTTGCTTACAGCATTGCATTGTGAAGAAACCCAGAAGCCAAAAACGCAGTGAAAATGCCGGGGTTGATAGCTCCATCTGATTATTCCCAAGAGCCACCCCGTCATCCTTCCCTGAAAATCAATTCCAAGGCTAGCCTTTTCTTCTTCCCTTTTTAGTATATTTTATTCATGTCTATTCTCAATCTTCTTTTAAAGGCGACATTTTTACTGGCTTAGAGATTTATTTCGATCTTTTCTATAACGGGTAACAACTTTATGGAAGTATTGTGCAAAAAAGTGGTTGACGAATCTATCAGCAAAAAGGCTATGGACTTATGGTATATGTATTCAGTTTAGCTATTTGGGCTGTTTGTTCAAGGATGATATTCAACTTGGAAAGATTTAGAGTTCTTTTACATGTTTACACCATTTTTTTGTGGAGCTTTTAACTCTTCCTTTGATCAAAGGACATTTGGACTGTGATCTGATTGCCCTATTTCTTAGAGTCACTAGTGATTAATGGTTTTTAGTCTGTTTGTGTTTGGGTTTTAGTTTATCTGTAGTCAAACTTGGGTTATCTTCGGTTTGTGTTTTCTTTTTGAGCTTGCTTTCCTTTTGCAAACTGCAACATATTCATTGTTTTCATGTATGTGCTAACTTTTCTGTTGGTTCCCCTCTTGGTTCCTCTGCTAATAGTTCCTTGGGTGTGTCATGTTTCATTGCAGGAGCCTTTCAACGCAGAGCCACGTCGTTCTGCCTTGACTCAATCTTATATAACTCCTGTGGATTTCTTTTACAAGAGAAATCATGGGCCAGTCCCAATTGTTGATGATCTGGAAAGGTTATTTGTTCTCTCCTAGTTCCATGCTGTTTCAAAATTTAATGCTTTGTTTTGGGAACTTTTTCTGACTTCAGATTGTATTTTGAAGTGCATGTGTTGTGTTGATAGTTGTAGTTTAACTAATTGATAACAAAGAAAGTTTGGTAACCTTTCTGACATCAGATTGTATTTTGAAGTGCAGATATTGTGTTGACATATGTGGTTTAATTGAAAATCCAAAAAAGCTTTATATGAGAGACATCTGGTGAGTGATGGAATGGGTGATTGCAAGCAATTAAAGTAATCAGTTTTATGCACTACCTTTTATAATTAATTATTGTGTATTACTTTCATTTACTGGTTGAGTTTTCTTCATTGCTTTAGTAAAATTCTCCATTGTTTACTGGTTGTTTTATTTTTTATATTTGTTACTTGAGTGAAGAGTTAACATGATATCGTTATTAATATACAGGATGTTAGCAAAATATAGTGTCACTGCCACTTTACAGGTTTAGTTTCTTCTGCTTGTGCTGCTGGTCTATATTGTACCTTGCTTTTACATTCATTTGTTGATTAACTTGGCTTGGCTGGTGTGATTTATAAAGTGTGCAGGAAATAGAAGGACTGCTATGAGCAAAACCAGAAAAGTGAGAGGTGTTGGTTGGGATGTTGCTGCTTTAGGAAATGGTTTGTTTTATCTTCTAAGCCTTTGCAATGAATTTTCATTTGAGTGCTTGTGGGCATAATACATGCATTATTTAGTATATGTGTGTATGCATAGATATCCATGCATGCCTTTATGTACTAACATACCTTAAAATGTTCAGAGCAGTGCACACACACTCATGCATTCACTTACTTGTGCATGTAAAAAAAACAAAAATGCATGTAAACACTTAAACACGCACTTCCCTGCATAATGGTTTTTGGAATATCTCTGTAAGATGCTTAGATAGTCTACAAATGTGGTGTGCAATTTAGTATCATGCGAAGGGTCTGCTTGCCCTTTGCTGAGAAAATAAACTCTGCTCTGGGATGGCATAAAACTTGAAATTCAATGCAATGATTTTCACCAGTTGACAGATACTCACCATTTTTTGACTGCTAATCTACATGAATCTTTTATTTAAATTTGAAAGGATAGGTGATAGACAGGCATCATAACATTTAAAGAATAGAGCTACAGTTGAACGAATTGAGGTTTTACAGTTTGTTAAGGGTCCTTTGTTAATTGTCTCCTGAGGGTCTGCATTTTTCCAATTCCATGTCTATCCATTACTTGCAGTACTCTTAAGTGCTTGTCCAATTGCATTAATTTTCTCTATTATGTTTGATTTCATCTTCATATCTTTTCAAATTCCTTCAGCTGTTTGGACTGGAGCCAAATTAGCTGATGTTCTTGAACTTGTTGGAATACCAAAGTTGACAAGTACCACTCAGATGGGTGGAAAACATGTTGAGTTTGTGAGCATTGATAAATGTAAGGTAGAACACTGAGCCTATTGAATTGATTCTGAAACATTTCTAGTGTTTGGTGGTCCATTGGTTGCAAAATTTGGGAATTTTACCTGACATAGTGCCTTCTGTAAATTAAAAAATGTAGGAGGAGAAGGGGGGGCCATACAAGGCGTCAATTCCACTTGGTCAGGCCACAAACCCTGAAGCTGATGTTTTACTTGCTTATGAGATGAATGGAGAGGTTAGTGAACTAAACTTGATTAATTTTTCCTCCTTTCTTGACTATATTATGTTCTTACTTGCCCAATTATTTATAACTGGACTCCATGATTGATTGTGATGTTACTTTATTTTTCTGATCAGCCTTTGATTTTACTTATAGTATTAAAAGTGCTTAATTTTTTCATTTTATTCATTAATTTTTTTCCAAGTTAAATTGTTATTTCCTTAATTCCTATTTTTGTCCAAGTGGAAGGAGCTTAGTTCCCCTTAAGCAAGGTCTCAAGTTTGAGTCTTGTGAATGGAAAGACGGGTACTAGGAGAACTTCCCCCTTATGGGATCCAACCCAACTCAACTCCGAATTAGTTGGGGCCCAATGTGGCTTCTGGATATTGAGGGGTTCAGTACCAAAAAAAAAAAAATCCTTTTATTTTTTTTCTCAAATAAGTTTTTCTGATAAGTGTATTTCTTGATTTCTTTTTTTCTTTGATGACTCACCTCTAGCCTCTGGGGAGGATAATCCCTTTCCTGTTCCCCTTTCATGGGGAGATGAATGATTCTTATGAGCAAATTCCTTTGATTAATCACACTGATATGGCCTACTGCCTTGTCATCACTAAAGCCTCTTAACAGGGATCATGGTTATCCGTTGCGAGTAGTTGTCCCTGGTGTTATTGGTGCTCGTTCTGTCAAATGGCTGGATTCTATAAATATACTTGCTGAAGAATGCCAGGTTCAAAATTTTTTCATCTTTACTTTGAATTATTATAGTATTTTTCCAACTTATGAATGGACTCTGGTACTGCATTACAGGGCTTCTTTATGCAAAGGGACTACAAGATGTTTCCACCATCAGTGGATTGGGATAATATCAATTGGTCTACCAGAAGACCACAAATGGATTTTCCTGTTCAGGTATTTACATAATCTTGCTTTGTTTGTCCAGGCAGCTGTTACTCTGGTAATTTAACTCTTGACTATATGTTTTCCTGTAAGCTGTATAACTATGACTATTTTAATCTGTAGATGTCAAAATCCAGCTATGCTGTTTTTACATGTTAGTTTCTTGAGTCTGAATTTATTGGATGTGTATAGTTTTATAGACAGAATGTGCCTAAGAGTTACCTGGGTTAAACGTGACATGTATTTAGTCTTTCTTATGGATTAATGTTTCTAGGAAATCAATTTCTCTAAATGCAGTATTCACCTGATCAGTCCTGTTAATTTGCTGGTTGACAGTCTGCAATTTGTTCTTTAGAAGATGTACAGGCAACAAAGCCTGGAAAGGTTAGTTCTTCCTGCAATTACAGACTTATTAGTTCTTTTCACATAATTATTTATCACCTATTGATTATAACGTGCAGGAACATCACAGTTCAATGGTACTAGCCTTTTAGTCAGTTTTCATGGCACATGCTTGATTTTAATATTCTTACCAGCTTTTCGTTAAAGCCTACAGTGCTCGATTAATTGTATTACACTTTCCCCATTTGCCAAAATATTGATAATATAAATAATAATAATCTATTACACATTAGCTTTTGAAATATTGTGTTCAGTTTTTCACTTTTTCTGTATGCTCCACATGATGTTCAAATTAGTAAAAACTAGTGCCATGTGATTCTTTTTTTGGTGCATGTCCTTAATCTTTTAGCTTTGCCTAATTTATAATTTCTGTAGTGCCCTGGGGAACTGAATGTCGCTCAAATGACCTAAATTCTGTGTGTCTAAATGTTTTGCAGGTAAAGGTTCGTGGATATGCAGTTTCTGGAGGTGGCCGTGGAATTGAGAGAGTAGACGTGTCTGTTGATGGTGGCAAAACCTGGGTTGAAGCCTCAAGATTCCAAAAACCTGGCATCCCTTATGTAGTAGATGATATACACAGTGACAAATGGGCATGGGTGCTTTTTGAGGTCATAGTTGATATCATAAACAGTACGGAGATTGTTGCCAAAGCGGTATATTGCCTGTCGTTTCAATTAAGAAAAAAATGGAAGTTGCTTATTACAATCCAAGTTCACATCTTTTTAACCTAAAACGGACTTTTAGCAGTCTTATGGAACCATTTCTTGAGTATTTCATTGTAGAAACTCTCAACAGTTAGCAATTCTAAACTCTTTCAATTTTATTTATTTATTTTTTTTAATCTTCTTAGTTTAAAATTTTGGTTCATTATGACAAAAATCTACGTTTTCCATGTTCCTCATTTTGTACTTACAATGTCTCTCATTTTGAATTGATGGTAGGTGGATATAGCAGCAAATGTTCAACCCGAAAAGGTGGAAGACATTTGGAACCTAAGAGGGATACTAAACACTTCGTGGCACCGGGTTCAAGTTCGCGTGGGTCACTCAAATATGTAGATGAAACTTGATGAGCAGTTGAATAACTTCAGGAGTAACTTCAAACATGTTGATGGCTTTTGCTACCATGTTCTTTGTGCAAAAAGAAAGTTGCTTAACTTTCTTTAGCAATGAGTTGTTTAAAACATTTTGTTAATTTCCCTGAATTGATGTGAATTCCTGGTCCCCTGGCTTTGAATAAACCATCATTGTTTTTTTGATACTTTTGATGAATGATGATGGTGCTTTTCCTAAATTCTTTTTCATTCATTGTAAGATTTGAACTTTAATACATCTAACTTAGAGTCATAAATCTTACTATTCAATACATTTCATTGTTGATTAATCAATTATGATTTTTTTTATCCTAAAAGTGAGCCTAGGTCAAGCCACTATAATATTTTAGCTTTTCATATCCTTATTCAATCACATGTAACTTTTGACTTTAAAGGAATCGAAATCAACCAATCAACTACCATAACCTATTTGATTAATCAACTACCATGGAAGAACTTCAACTAATCGAACGTGCGTCAAGTTCCCAAATACTTTGGGAATCTGAATCAACCAAACCAACCCAATTTCACCCTCTTAATGTTCTCTTTCGAAGGATACTTACATACATAAACTAGTTTGTATCTAACTACACTTTGGGTGGTTTTGTACCAAAAGCCAATAATTAATACAACACATGGAGACCCATTTGCACCTTCCATTCAGCCTTTTCTTTGCTTTATATTACTCTTTTGGTGGGCATGAACGTTATACAAGATTTCTATTCTAAGTTTGCATTATGGTACTGCACAAACTTCGGTGGATTCTTAAATTTACTACTACCATATGTCCCGTTCATGAGCTAGCTAGTGTGTATTATAATTTATAATCACTATGGTTTTTCAATCATAATTGCATCAATTTGTTTTCAAGTGCTTGCCTTTATATTCTGAAAATTTCCAATAGCTTAAATTTAATGAATTTTCAATAAATCTAGTCACATTTTATAATATTAAGAGTGGGGTCCTTAAAGATTAACATGAATAATTGTTGTGTTATTGTTATTGGTGTTATTCTAAACCATTCGATGCGACTAAGTATAGATTCAATTAGACATGGTTCACATTTGTTTTTCCTGTTGGATTGTTAAATATAAAATAAAAAAATTTTTGACAAAAAGAAAAATACAAATATATTTATAAATAAAAGAAAAACGTGTTTATTGATTGAATTTTTAAAAATTAAAAGAGGAAACAGTTATAAATCTCTATTATTTCAATACACTAATATTTAAAAAGATTTAAATAATATTTTAAAAATAAAAATGAAACTGTTTTGATCTTTTATTATAACGCTTTATTAATTTTCTTTTATAATATGTTTAACTTACAAAGAATAAAGATGAGAAAAAGAAAATTTTACTTTATTTTTTTTATTAATTAATTAATTTAAATAAAAAAAGAGGGATGAAGAGAGAGAAATAAAAAAATAAAATTGTCTTCTCTTTTATTCCTTTCCCCCTTTTTTTTTTTTATAAGGATAATAATTAAAAAGTTAATGAGTTAATTGTTAGCAATTGGTTGTCAGACCGATCATCAGGCCGTAGTTTGGTGGAGTTCACGACGGTTCATTCCTTTCCCCATCTATTTCTCCTAATTTAATCATATTATTAATTTTTTAACAATTCAACTTATGAGCGTGGTACTAAACTACTAATTTAAAAGTAATACACTAGTAATACTTGTGGAAGATTTTGACTTTTGTCCCTATAAAATTATCTTTTAATAACTTCACCTTTCTAGCACTAGGGCTGGGCACTGCACCATAAATGTCACAATTACCATTGTATTGTTTCATTACCAGCGAATACGGTATAAAAAATTACCATATGATAAGTTTAAATGGTAATATGGTAATATCATTTAGACCTGTGGTACGAAATTGGTATTGAAGGTCATTACCATATTCACCATATGGGCCTCCAAATTACCAAATTTACCATTGGTCCAAAACTTTTTTTTTTTTCAATTTTAAAATATTTTTAATGATTTTTTTCCTAAAACGGTGGTAATTTTTGTAATTTTACTAACAATTTGGCAATATAAATAATAATATCTCATTAACTCAACCCAACTTTCTTCCTCTACTTCTTTCTTTTCCGCCAAAAAGAGAAATTCTCTCTTTTCTCCACTCATCAAAAACCCCTAGATTTGTGGCTTGCAGCTGCTATGGGGTAGAGACAAGTAGATCTGGAGATGGATTTCCGCCGATGGAGCGAGATGGATGAAGAAACCTATAGCTGTTGGAGATGGAGATCGAAACTGGAGGTGATGGTCAATGATGATGATGGTGGTGACGGTGACGATGCGGATGGTGGTGATGGGTGGAATTGGGAGGAGGGGGCTCCAAAGAGAGAAAGATCGGGAACCTTCCTCACTTTTTCCTTTTTATTTTAATTTTTATTCTACATAGTTTTCAATTGTTGCTAGTTCTCTCTCTCTTTTTTTTTTTTTTTTATGTGTGCATGTCTTGTATAATTATATATTTGTATGCTTCAAGATGATGAAAAATGATATGGAGAAAATAAGTTTTTAAAATAAATTTGAGCTTTTAAGATTGAATTTTAAATTATTTGAATTAATTGATAATAAAGAAAATAAGTTTAAAGATAGCAATATTAGATGGTATTGGTAAGCTAAGTTTTATTACCGTTAAAAACGATTGACAATCATTACCAAAAAATCATCAATTAATATGAAAGTGATACATTTTTTTTATTACCATTTAAAACAATTACTATCATTTGAGAGCGGTATGACAACTGCACCATACCATGCCCAACCCTATCTAGCACATTGGTTCGGTAATTAGAGCGTATGAGATTGAATCCTCTACCCCATTAACCAAAACTCATAGATCCGTGCTTGAATTGGAATTGACTAAGACCCCAAGTAGTGGATAAATAATTTAATTAATGTATGGAGTAGAGAATGGATGGTAGACTTTGAAATACATTCTTGTCTGCCAAAAAGGCAGAGACATGTTGTATGGGGGTCAGACCTTAATTGAAAGGTAGTGAAATTGCAAGGACCCACCTATCCAAACCTACTTTCAACCCTAGCCACTGGGTTTTGTTGATGATTCAGATGAAAGCGAAGCTGTCTCTGTTAGTGCAGTGCATCATGTGGTATCCTGATAGGACTCGGAGTACTGGTCCTACTTTATTTATTCTACCATTTCAATCACGTGGGATTTATCTTCGAAAGATATGAGAAGTGCATTTTTCTTTTTAATGGGCTTTATATTTTTTTATATCTGTATAAAAATAATATAAAAAATTTTATTAATAATGTTTTATTATATTTATGAGTCATATTACACCTTTAGAATTCATTGAGAGTACTATAAAGTCGGACTTGAGAAAACAATTCTTTTTATTTAAATAAGGCAATTAATTTTTTAATTTTTGTTTATGGACATAAAGGTTGTTTAATTAGGTAGGACTTTCAAATTCATCTCTCATTAGTAGGAACAGATTTATCTCTTAAAAAAATATAAAGATAAATTATTTTTTTAAATTATAAATTAAGATAAATCATTTATTTTTTTAATTTTTTTACTGACATAATAAACAGAATTATGACATTTTTTGTTTAAAAATAGATAATTTATCCGTGTATTTTTTTTAAAGGTAAATTTATCCCTACCAACATATTTACAGAGTAGATTTGAGAGTTTTATCATTTAGTTATCTGTCTTAAAAGTTTTATTTAGGGAAGGCACTTTCTAAGACTTAAACTAAGTTTTTATTTACCAACAATGTGGTGATTTGAGTAAAAAAAATTTGATTTTTTAAAATAAAATTTTAAATTTAAGTTTTGTGAATAAAGAAAATAGACGCTAGAAGAGTTTCTTCTTATGAGATTTGACATATTTTCACTTTAAATTAATTGAGTTTAATGTGATTATCGAATATATGGAGGTTAATGAAAAAAAAAAGAAAAGAGACTAAGTTTTTATTTACCAACAATGTGGTGATTTGAGTAAAAGAAATTTGATTTTTTAAAATAAAATTTTAAATTTAAATTTTGTGAATAAAGAAAATAGACGCTAGAAGATTTGACATATTTTCACTTTAAATTAATTGAGTTCAATGTGATTATCGAATATATGGAGGTTAATGAAAAAAAAAAAAGAGACTAAGTTTTTATTTATTTATAACTTTCTTGCATATTGTTTCTAAGATAGGAGTAACCAAGAAAGCGGCCGTGGAACTTGAAATCCTATACGCAAGCACGGATGCAATTTACAAAGGGAGCAAGTGCCGCTTGATTTAGCCAGAGAGTGGTTCGCGAAAGAAGAGTGTTTGTTTCATAAACTTACGATAGTAAAAGTTGAAACTTATCTAAATATATATATATATATTTTTTAAAGCATTTTTTCTAAGTTTTTTATCTGTAAAATTGTTTATAAGAGGCCTAAATTTGAAGTTACAAACCATAGTTTTTCAGTCGAGCTTTCTCCAACTTTAAAATTTCAAGATTTTTGTCAATATTTTAAAATTTATGATTTAACATTTTATTATTTTTACAAAACTGCTATCCCAAAAAAAAAAAAAATTTCTTATTGTCAAAGTCAAATCTCAAAAAAACCAAAACATGAACTGTTAGGAGTAATTAAGGAGAACAACATGTTTCTGACTCTCTCTGTAGCTAATAGTTTTTCTCTGTTCATCTTCTTCGTGTGGGAGACAATGATCTTATTTTGGATACCTTGGTTTGCAAAGAACAGATTTGTTGAAATTCAATCACGTCGGATTTATATATATAGTGATGCACGACAAAGAAACAATCAGAACGGTAGACCGTTTACCTTAGCTACCAAATTAGGGATTCGCTAGCACTAACTGTCTAAGTTTCAACGTTCAATTCTCTCTAATCCAAGTTTCAATGCTTAATTCTCACAAAATTTCGCAGCATAATAATCAATCAAATTTGTCAACGATATAAGTAATTCAATGGTAATAAAAGAAATATGAGTTCAAGTCACATGACATACGAATAGAATAAAATAAGAAATGAGAAAATGTTGTTTTTTACTGTGCAACTAATATAAAAAAAAATCAAATTTAATATATTTCTCCTTGTTCCAAAAATGGAAAAATCAACCCAATTGATACTCAGAGATGTCTTTGGCCCAGCCGTGAATACTGAGCCTCTGAAATATGTGAGTTGTAAGTCTGAGTTCCCAAGAATGCTGGTTCTTTGTAAATATTGTGTATTGCGCTTAAATCACGGTATCTATTTAAGTTAATTTTTTTGATAAAAAATAGAGATTATATTAAAATAAAAGATATTATAAATTGAATCTCTATTTAAGAGCATTGTAACTTAATTAAAATCAAAAGTATAATTTATTGTCTTAGTAATATATTTAAATTATGTTTATAATAAATATAAATAATTAAATAAAAAATTTATTTATAATTAAAAATTATAACTATAATCACTGATATAAATAAAACTACTAAAATTTTTTTAAAAAATTCTTTTTAATTTTCATAAATGACTAAATATCAACAATTTAATCAACTTCGTAAAGAGAGCAATGAATCTGACATCAACTATCCCAACCCGTTAAGATGTCTTTCTTAACTAATATAGGCTTCAACCGGCAGGAGGGTCATAGCCTTTAGCCAATTGAACTAAAGCTATCCCTATATTGCCAACAACCACTTTGTAGGCACTCTCTTCCTCCATAGGTGCTGGACAACTCTTCCGGTTGTTTTGAATGTGTTTTCATCTGTGCAGTCTAGATACCACTCCACGCTCTAGCCTTCTTCAACTGCCCCTCCTTACTTTTGCAGCTTTCCCTTTCCCTCTTTAATTCTCATGCCAACCAAGTCTTGGGACAAAGGCACTTCCACCGACTGTACCGCGGTTATTACAGGCAAAACAACAAGAGACTGTCTCTTCTCCAAGCCCCACGTCATTTATGCCATTATCATTGTTTCCCCCAACTTGCACGTCATCATTGTTTCACCCCCTCAACTTGGCTTGCACAGTCGAGCATATAAGCTAAAATTTTAAATCTATAGTTTTTGAAATAGAGCTTTTGTTGTTATGTTTTTTTTTTTTTTTTT